CACGCTCACAAACACCAAGTTAAAGGAGCCACAGAAGCTGCAAATGACAGAACATGTCCCTCTGCACCCCACATACGGCTCTTTGTGCAGCCGAGGGTGCCTCAAGTCCCATTACCCAGGCTTTACTGCCATCTGTGTGGTGGAAGTGACAGTGCCCCTTGCCACGTCTGAGGTAACACATCCAGGGCAATTTATCCCCAAACACGTGGAATTGATGCTGAGGTCTTAGTGTGGCTGCTTAGGGAATCTGCAAGCATTTGAAGTTGGGAGAGTCCCTTTGGAAGCAGAGGTGATCCAGGGAACCCCTCCAACATTAAAAATATAATGAGTTTGAAGTGCTGCTCGTTGGTAGCCAAGTTCAATTTTTATCTGAGTACCATAAACGCTGTTTAAGTCTTCCTTAGCGTTTTGTTCCTAGACATGGGTCAGAGAGCTCAGCTACCTTTGGCCTTTTGTGGGAAATAAGCCATGAGATAACAATACCAACCATTAAATTTTTTTTGTTTTATTTTTGAGATTATAATATAATTATGTCATTTCTCTCTTCACCTTTCTTCCTCCAAACCCTCCCATATACCCCCTCCTTGTTCTCTTCAAATTCATGGCCTCTTTTTTCATTGTTTTTAGATGCTTATGTGTTTTATGTATATACATTTTCTTAAATATAACCTGTTCAGTTTATATTATGTTATTTGCATGTATCCCTTCAGAGTCGATCATTGGTGTTGGGGAACCAAGTAGTGTGTTCTTCCTAGGGGAAGATGATTTCTCATGTGCTCAGAATTCCTTGGTTACCCATAGTTCTTCATGTAGGGTTAAGGCCTTGTTGTCATTCCTCTCTCTACTTTGACATGTCTGGTAGTGTTGTCCTTTTCTTGTTGGTGAGAATTTATGGGTATAGGTTCTAACATCACTGGGAGACACAGTCTCACACAAACTCCCTGACCTCTGATCTCTGGCTTTTACAATCCTTTTACCTCCTCTTCTGCAATGATTTTTTGAGCCTTAGGTTCAGGAGTTGATTTATAGATGTATCTGTTGGGACTAGAATCCACAACTCTGAATTTTGATTGGCTGTTTTTTCTTTTTGGTTTTGTTTTGTTTGTAATGATATCTGTTAAAAGAGAAGTTTTTCTTGATGAGGCATGAGGACTACACCCACCCATTAATATATGAACAAATATTTAGAATAAATATGTTGGGAGTTATGTTGATTTAGTAAAGTAGTGGTTATAGGTTCTCCTCCAAGATTCATGACTCCACTAGCCCTGGGTTGTTGGCTAGGATTCCTGTATCAGGCAAGATTTCCCTCTTGAGTGGATCTTAAATCCAGTTAAAGAGTTGTTGGTTACTGCCATGGTATCTGAGCCAGGACTGGACCCTTAAGATTTATGTGTCATACATGCTAGTAGTTGTTGAGGTTTGTAGATGTCACAGCTGAGGAGGAAAGTTGGTTGTTTACCTCCTTTGCAAGCTTGCATGGCACCTTCTGGTACCTTAAAAGCTAGTGCTTAAGGAAGGTGGAGCCTCTGGCCCATTTCTGAAGTGCATGACAACCAAGGACAATAGCAATAGTCTAATGTTTTGGAAGTTTCTTGTATAACCCTGACCAACAACTCAAGAGGGCTTCTGATGCCTGGCATTAGATTGTTGGAGGTAGCATTGTCATTTAAGTTCAGAAAATTACATTTAAACCATCTTGTATATTTATATACAAATTTAAATATATTATAGGGGGTTTCCAGGTAAATAGTTAAGTTAGGATTCATTATGACTTTTCAGACATCCTTACTTGTGTTTTCCATGTTTATCATCATCATTTTTTTCTTCTTTCTTCTCTCTTCTTTCTCCTCCTCCTCCTCCTTCTGTATTTCTTTCTCTCTCTCCTCTCTATTGCTTCATGTATTTTCTTTAGCTTTGATTTGTTGGATATAATTTTTTTAGGCTGTTTATATCATTGAGAAATCAGATGATGGTTTTCCTTCATATGGTACTTGTATTTTTTTTCTCTTGCAGCTTTTAAGAAGAAAAAAGTACTTTCAATACTGTGCTGGCTAGATTTATGTCAAGTTGACGTAGCTAGAGTCATCAGAGAAGAGGGAGCCTCAGTTAAGAACATGCCTCCATAAGATCAGGTTTACGCAAGCCTGTAGAGCATTTTCTTAATTGGTGATTGGTAGGGGAAGGCCCAGCCCATGACAGGTGGTACCATCCCTGGACTGGTGGTCCTGGGTTCTATTGGAAAGTGACTTGAGCAAGCCAGGAGCAAAACAATAAACAGCTCCCTTCTATGGCCTCTGCATCAGCTCCTGACTCCAGGTTCCTGCCCTGCTTTTGTTCCTGTCTTGATTTCCTTTGATGATGAACAGTGCTGTGGAAGTATCAGCCAAATACACTTGCTTTTGGTCTTGGTGTTATATGCAACCCAAACTAGGGAAAATACACTTTCCTTGTGATGTATATGAAGTGTTTTAACATGGAGATGTTCTTTTCTGGTCTTGCCTATTTGATGTTTTTGTGTCCTTCTTGTATCTGTATAGGTGTGTCTTCCCTGTGTTTGGGGAAGTTTTCATCTATGATTCTATTGAAGATCTGTTCTGTATCATTGACTTGGGATTCTTCTCCCTCATCTATACCTAAAATTTGAAGGCTTGGTTTTTTTTTTTTTTTTTTTTTTTTTTTTATGGTGTCCCACATTTCCTGTATATTCCTTCCCCGTGTCTTCTTTTGTTGTTGTTTTAATTCATACCCCTTTCTTATTTGGTCTAGAGTCTCTATTTTATCTTTGAATATACACCCATTTTCTACTTGATTCATTCTACTTTGAAGGCTTCCCTTTGAAATTCCCGATGGGCTATTGGGGTTTCAACTCTACCTTCATTTCAGCTTGAGTCCTCTCCAGTGTTTCAGTCTTTTGATTGAATTCCATTCCCAAGGCTTAGATTGTCTTTGTTATTTTCATCAGCCTTATGGGTTTTTGTTTTGCTTTGTTTTGTTTTTTTCAGGGGGTGGGGGGGCATCACTCAGGCATTAACTTATTTTAAGTTCTTCTTAATTTAATTGAGTTGTTTCTCTCCTCAACCTATAGGGATGCCCTCCCTCTAGCTATGCACCACCTCTGTCTCCAATTAGTCTCTTTCTATTTTGAATATACTAACCCTCACACTTCCTTTACTTTGACCTGGTATCCTTCCTGGAAGGCCTGGCTGTTTTGCAGATGGTTGACAAGATTGGTGAGGATTTGCCAGGATATTTCTGAACCACTATTTGCACGGTGTTCTTCCTACTACAAGACTGGAGTTGTAGGTTTAAGGAGAGGGCCATGAAGCGAAGTGTTACTCTCATCCAACCCAGTCAGGGGTGCACACTGTCACCTTGCCTGACCACTGTGACACCCACAGTGTATCTCTAGCAGACACAGTGTGACATCACCCTGCCATCCCTGCTCTTTGTGCACTTGGGTAGGCAGTTGCTGTGTGCAGCCCACCCCAGAGCCTGAACTGTGCTCCATCTACCCAGGGGAAGTAGCTACAGAGGCCAGCAGAACTTTCTCACATAAGATATGTGTCTTTTCTCTCCCTCTTTTTTATTTTTATTTTATTATTATTTTTTATTTTATTTTAAGACAGGTCTCCCTGTGTAGCCTGGCCTGATCTGGAAGTCACTGGCCTCCTGACTGTCTCCCGAGCAGTGGTGTTGCCAGCATGGGCTACCATGCCTAGTTTGAGCTTTTTGTCAGGTTTCCTTTAGATACTTATATGTTTAGTTATTTGGGGGTGTAGGTGCGAGGGTGTTAGTTACATATTTGGGGGTCAGAGTTCATTCAGCTGTCAGAGCACTCAGAAGTTGACACACTCTCAGCTCTTGGGTGGCTTTGCACATCGCCAGTGAAAGTGGATTGTGTTGAACATGACCTTGCTTTGTGGCAGAGGGGTCTTCCACACTTCTCAGGGTCCCTCTTTGCCTCTGCTAGAATCAGTCATTTATGCTATACGTTCTGGTGTCTTAAACTGGACTTTGTTGGACTGAGGATCTGGGTGTGGCATGCACTTTGGAGTCCCATTCCCTCTGTGTCCTCTCAGCCAGCACACAGGGAGGCAGATGTACACACACCAACCAGTGGGCATACACCAGCAAGCTGCCTGGAAATACTCTCTGTCTCTTCTATAGGAAGCTGAAGACTGGTTCCCACTTAAAGTCCCAGTTCTGTTCTATTACCCTGGGATTTGTAGTCTCTTTGCCTTGCTTATCTTTAGCCTCCTACCAACAGGGGTGCCTTAAAGTCAGTGCAGATGAACAAGTGATGAATGAGACAGATTAGCATGGTTTCTTAAGTGGTCACCTGCTTGTATGCACACATGCAGTGGCCACAGGAGGATACTGGGTGTCCTGATCCATCATTTCCCACCCCATTCCCTCGAGATGGGGTCTTTCACCAAACCCAGAGTTCCTTGTTTTATGACTAGGCTTGTTAGCAGGGAAGCTGAGGTTTCCTTTGGGGGCTGTTAATCTCAGTAATAAGATGATTTAGAAATGGACTCAAGAAGCAAAGGACAGTTTTATTAGAGTTTAAGAGAGGCTGCTGGGGAAAGAGACTGAGAGAAAGCCATGTTAGGCATGGAAAAGAAACAGCTTATTTAAAAAAAAAAAAAAAGGCACCCCCAATAGTGGGCTTTCCTGCTGAACTGAGAAAAGTACCCCCAAAGTATCCAGCCAGGTGGCAGTGTATTGTCTTTTATAGCCGCCCGCCCTTCGTAGGTCACAGGCTTTATGTCGCACATTCTCTATTCACTAGACAATGCCCCTGGAAAACCTATCCCAGGCTGCCTGGGCAGCAAGCCCCAGGAATCTCGTTCTAGTGCTGTAGTAACTGGTCTGTGGGCACAAGCTTTTATGTAGGTGTTGGGGACTCCAGGCTCAGGTCCTTGTCCCTATGCACTGACCCACTGAGCCATCTCCCAGCTCCCATTGTCTCTTATATCTTTGATTATTATAATTATGGACTACATGCCTATGGAAAGCCCAGTCTAGAAGGATGGATCACAACGCTGACCATTGCATAATCTTACTTGAAGGTAAGGATAAAAACTCACAGGTGTCATTGACTTCAAATGCCACACCTAACTCAAAAGAACTGTAGTGAACAACGGTTGGAAATTACTTTGTGTAACTCAGCTCAGTGCCTGGAAGCTTGAGCCACGTGGATGTGAGTGGGGACTCTCACATGAAATGATGCAGACTGGTGATGTACAGACTATATGGTGAGTCCTGGTCACCTAAAAGCTTCTGACAGCACAGCCTACTGGGGCTGCACTCTCGAGGGTCTGACTTAGTAGGTCTGGCTTGGAAATTGCAAACTAACAGGTTGTGTAGTTACCTGTCTTGTTTTAACAAAATACCCGACAAAAGCAACTCAAGGAAGAAAGAGTATATTTTGGCCCACAGTTCAAGGGTATAGCCTATGATGGTGTGGAGGGTATGGCAGCGTCCCATCCAGCCAGGAAGCAGATAGCAAATACTTGTGTGCTAAACTCACTTTCCCCTTTTATCTAGTCAAGATCCTGAGGTCATGGAGTGGTTCTGCCCACAGATAGGATCTTGCTGCCTCCATTAACCCAATTTAGATAGTCATTCACAGGCTTCTTGGGAGCTTGGCCACTAGGATGGTAGGTCCTGTCAAATTGATCTCTCAGGCTCTCGGGTCTGTTTCTGCTACCACTGTTCCAGAGAATGGGAAAGCACCATGGGCCACACTTCTGAGAAGGGAAAGAGATAACTGAGGATTCAGAGATCTCATAATGACTTCTTAGAGCACTGGCCACAGAAGCCGAGCCCGGGGGAAGCTACAGTTTAGAAAAGCATGAGTGGGGATGGCAAGGGGGGCTTGATTGAGAAGAAACAGGGCCAGGCAGGACTCTGCCTAGGGAATGTGACTTGTTTGAGAAGGTCATGAGATAAGGGGAAGATAAACGACACCCTTTTTCCCTCCCTCCCACAACTTTGCTGTGACGATGTTTGGGTGGTAGGGCCTGGGGACCAGTTGGTTCTGACAGGTATGCCCATCAACCATCTGTTAGAATGCTATCTTCCATGGTGGACAGTTTGTCTCTTTAACTCTTCCTTGTCCTTGAGTGCATTCCTCTCCCACAACAGTGCACAGATCTTTGTGTAACTTCAGTTGTGCCTAATAAATATCTTGTCCTATAAACATTTCAAATTTCTTGAATCATGCTTGTAATTGACCTGACACCCTTAAAATAGTTTGTTGTTTCCTAGGACTTGACATTCACATTAGGGAAACAAAGACTTTTTTTTTTTCTTTCTTTTATGGCCCATCCTTTAGCAAATTCCAATTATAAGCTTGCAGCTGTGTAGTGCTTACAAAGTCATATTCAGGGCATCTCGTGTGTGTGAGCAAAAGCTCTGACAGACTCACACAATATAGGCATTTTTTTCCTCCTTATGTCCCGTTGAAGTCGCTATTGGAAGCATGATTTTGTGTGCAGTTCAAGATCTTTATATCTAACAGGAAACAATATAGAAGTGGCACCTCAAATGGGAATCTGATTTGCTTTTGAAGTTGCTTATGGACCAGGGCCAGGGCCCAGGGCAGTGGCAGGCCCAGAGGTAAGAGCAGAGGCTGACCTGTCCCATACCCAGTACAGTGGAAAGACTCATTGTCTAGGGATCGAGTGGAAAGCATTGACAGGCGAGAGAGGAAGTCAAATATTCAGACCCTGCTAGCTGCTCCAAGGGAGACTGTAAACAGGAAGAGGAATGGTGCTGAGGCAGGGGAGGAGAGTCAAGTCTTGGGAACAACTAAGATGGGATAGGGTAGTGGCCTGAGACAGAGGCCTTGGAGGAAGCAGGAAACTGCTTTTTCCCAGGTCAGAGCCTATAGAGGGTATGGGTTTGGGAATTCAGGCCTCTGGGGATTCAGTTGAACTCTCATTGGCTGCATTCCGTAACCCACGTGGGCTGATATGCCATCTTGGGCCGTGTTGTACAGCTAATTGACCAAGCGGGGTTTTGGTGTTTGCTTCTTGCAAAGGCCCCAGCTGTTTGACAAAATGTTCTGCAAGGGCTACTTGTCCCATCCCTTCTCTGCTGTCATCTTTTCTTCCCCTTGCACTCTTAATGGGTTGTTCTTCATGACACATGCTAGTGACTCTTGCTTACCAAGCTGGCATTATCTGTCTTCTCCCTCAGCAGTTCAATATGTTCAGCGACTGTACATGGGTTTTACAAAGAGAAAAGATAGGAGGTTCCTCAGCCTTCCCAAATAGCCTAGTATGTGGCAGAGTATCGAACCCAGGCCCATTTAATTCCTCCTCCGTGAATGCCCTGCTGCAGTGTGTGCAAAATCTGGACCCTGTGTCTATATGGCAATGTCAGCCACAACCTTTCCGCACCTCCACAGTCTGGAACTAAGAAATCAGTTAGCAGAGGCTGCCCCCTGGGGACATTTCCAGGCTTGAGTATGAAACCTACCAGTCCTCAGCTAGAGGGAGTCTTGTCAAGGTTTGGGAACCCTTTAGGACTAGTGACCCTCCTTAATCAAAACACAGTCACTTTGTACAGGGTAAAGTGTAAACTTGGAAATCAAAATTAGAGATTTAAACAGGAAGAGACGCAGAGAGCTATAAAACAAGCAGGTAATCAGCAGACTATAGTTCGTGATCTCTAGACCTCAAGAAAAAAAAAGTTGGCATTTGAATAGTTATAATACATTCAGGGTACATGGATATACTCTACATGAGAGCTCCATAGTCACAGTGTCCTCTTGCACCCCCAAAGGCTGAGAACCCCCAAGACCCTCTTGTGCTGTCAGATTTGGCTGCATTAGCGCATATGTTTAAGTTATCTTAAAGGCTCTGCTTCTTCTGTCTGAAAGTCCTTTTATCTGTGTCTATGAGTCCTTTGTAACAAGTGCAGAGTAAGTTAATTGCAGCCATTGATTGCCCTGGGGAGCTGCTGACACCCATTTTCTGTCCTGAATGCAGGTTGGTGGCCCCTTTTCCTGAATGATTCCAGAGCACTGTGGCCACACCCTTGTCCTTGGGCTCTGCTCCAAAGGTCTGGGCTCCTCATGTGTCTACCATGTTGCCACACCACTGGCCATTGTATCTTACCTGTCTTGTATGTTTGCAACTTTTCTGGCTCCCTTTGAGTCTGAGATACTTTCTCTCTCAAGGGCACCTGGTATCTGATCCAACTAGCAGTTTGTCCTAACTGAATGCTTGCACACAGGCACCCAGTGAGCCTTGACTGAATGTGAAGAAAACCAACTGCAGTACATGGTGGCATCGTGGAATTCTTCTCTTAGAGCAGTGGTTCTCAACCTGTGGGTCATGACCCTTTGGGGGTTGCATGTCAGATATCCTGCATATCAGATATTTATTCAAAACAGTAGCAAATTTTAGTTATACAGTAGCAACCAAGTAATTTTATGGTTGGGGTCACCACAACACAAGAACTAGTATTAAATGGTTGTGGCATTAGGAAGGTTGAGAACCACTGCCTTAGGATAATGAAGCCATGTTGACATGAGATGTCACAGGGATTCCCTCCTTATCCCATCCTTCCATAAAGTGGGATTATCAACCCTTTTGCACCCATGTGCAGACTGAAGCCCACATGGGTTAAGGACCTGCATGCTACTGTTTATGGGTGATGGTTTGAATCCAAACTATACAGGGTTCTGCCCCAGGTAAGGGTTCTGCACCACTGTTAAGCTCTCTCTCTCCCCTGATTGAACTGTGTCAGTCTTTGTAACTGGTGCAGGACTTGGAACCAACCAGGGGATACACCTTTGGGCATGGCATTGATGGTGTTTCCAGGGAGGTTTTGATCAGACCAGAAGATCTGTGGTTAGAAATTCCCTCAGGGGTTGTAGGGGTAGCTCAGCTGTTCAAGGCTAGGCTCATACCCCCCAAAATGTAAATGATCAAAAATGTAAGAAATTCCCTCAGGTATCTTTGAGTCTTTCTGGGATTCTGGAACCATTGTTTGCTGAGAGTGGTGTCATATTTCTTTCCTTTTGCCTTCCTGTATATGTCTTTGTTGTTATGTGTACAGCCCTATTCTGTAAGGAAGATGCTAGTGGACACAGCCCTTGCTGTCTGCTCTCACTTGGGGGATGCAGGGGTTCCTGTCTGACTGCCTCATTCAGAATGGGATTTAGATGAGGAAGGATATGTGTCACACCTCTATATCAGTGTTGATCTTAAGGTGAGACATGACAGATGTTCTCAAGCTTGACAAGCATGATTTCGGAAAGCAGATTATTAGGATTGCAAAGCACATATTTAAGTACCACAGGTACCAGGTGAGTACATGATACTTAAAATTGAGTGGCAAAAGCTGGAAGTGAGAATTAAGATCTCCAAATGCAAGAGTTTGTTTATGCAAACATCAAGGAGTCTCTGGGGGAATCTTTAGACCAGTGTTGACCTGACAGCTTGAAAGGTCCACCTATTCCATCTCCCCACAGTCATCTTGGCTGCCTGACTCATCATGGATGATCAAACAGCCAGCATGGCTAATGCAGCATAGCCTCTATGCAACAGGAAAATACAGATGGGCAGAGGACACCAGCCATAGGTGGCTTGGGGTGACAAATTCCTGCGGTATGGGGAGTGAGTGTCATTGAAAGTCTATTGTACACATGGGACTCCCTCAAGTGAACCTGTCTCCCAAACATCTTTGCTGTCCAGAACTGAACATTCTAGAAAATGGACTTGCTTAAGAAGCACACAGGATTAAGGGTGTTGCTGCTAGCCCACTGGGGAAGCTGCATGACTTATGAGGGCAAGAAGGGCCTTAGAGATGGGCTTCATTGGGTCCCTTCCCTTGGGTGTTTCTCCACCACCAACTGGGCAAGAGTTAAACCCAAGCAGTTGACTACCTTAACCAAAGCCTCACTTTTGCGGTTGCTAAATTTTACCCTTCTAGCAGGAACCCTTATCAAATGCACCTCAGAAGGCTGATGGGAAGGACGGGGCTGTGTGGTCCTTTCTAATTTTGAGGATTAACAATGTAAAGTCACCACCCACAGACCTAAGTGGGGACCTCTGGATAAACCTCCCCAGAGGACATTGTCTCCATCCACAGTCACTTGTTGTCCCCTCCCCAACCTAGTCGCATCATAACCATGTGTGATTCTCACTGTGTTTCTGTGGAAGCCCCAGGAAGGAAGTCTTGAGTGTGTACATTTCTCTCATTTCAGACTGTTCTGCGATGACCACAGCCAGGTACCGGCCCACCTGGGACCTGGCCCTCGACCCGCTGGTGTCCTGCAAGCTGTGCCTTGGGGAGTACCCAGCAGAGCAGATGACAACCATCGCCCAGTGCCAGTGTGTCTTCTGTACCCTGGTTGGTCTCTCAGCTCAAGCACTTGTTCAATAATATTGCTACTCACTTCAGGCACACCAAGCCACACTTGGGCTAAGCATTGTGGGAGCCTACGTGTCTACTCAGACTCACACAAAGGCAGCCAGAGTAGAATCTTTATGTGATAATGACTTGTGGTGCACAAGCCATCACTTAACCAGAATTGTAGAAACCGGTGGCACAATTTAAAAATGCCCAATTAAAACACCCAGCATAGCACACATTCTTCTTGCTATACAAGGGGCTTTTCCATACCTCATTTTCAGCTTAATGATAAGCACACACTTGACATTGTGGCAGAGCTAACCCGAGGACTGTGTGCAGCTACAATATGCCACCACTAGTGCCGTCTTTCCCTGTTGAATGCTGAATGATAGTGTCTAAAACTTGAGGTCAGAGTGTCTTATGCAGTATCCAGAATGATCTGTTCCCAACATGAATATAGAGACTCCTAACTTAAGAGGTTTGGGTTTGGGTCTAACTCAGACTTGAATAATATTTTTTTTCCTGTGTGTGTGTGTGTGTGTGTGTGTGTGTGTGTGCGCGCGTGCGTGCGCGCACTACGTTGGCTGGAAGTGATCATCAGATCTCTGGATCTGGAGTTATGGGCAGTTTAAGTTGCTTGATGTAGGTGCTGAGAATCAAATTTGGGTCCTCTGGAAGAGCAGCGTGTACTCTTAACTGCTGAGCCATCTCCCCACAGCCCCAAACTTATAATGTTTATCTATCGCAAAAGAAAACAGCAACAAAACACTTAACACAAAAAAGAGTAGATTGGAAACTAAGAGAACATTATTTACATGGTTTTTCTGATTTTTTATTCTCAAAGAATAGGAGTGATGGAAACATTGATAGAGTAGGAAAGACTAGGCAATGTTGCTCAGTAGGTGCAAGGTGCAACTGTGACTTGACATTGATGTATGTATTGAGTGGGTTGGAGTGTTGTACTGAGTGTGCAGATGTACTATTTCAGCTTAAGCAAAACAAAGCAATGACAACTGCAAGAATAAACCCAAAGTCCAAAGGACACAATGCATGCTTAATTGATCACCACAATATTTAAGTGCAGGGCTGGGGAGAAGGTTTGGTATGAACAGGTGTTTGACTTGCAAGTGTGAAAACCTGAGTTCAGATCATCAGAGCTCACATAAAACCAAGAACATAACATGAATGTCTATCATCTAAGTGTTCCTACCAGGAGATGGGAGGTGGAGACAGGAAGGCCCCTGGAAACTTGTGGGTCACCTAGCTTGGCTTACACAAAGGAAAAGTGATAAAGACACCTTGTCTGAAGCAAGGTGGAAGATGAGGATCTACATCTGAGGTTGTCTTCTGCATGCACGCACACACACACACACACACATGAATGCACCCACTGCACACTGCACACACACACACATCTACACATACATGGCAACATCAAGTCAGAACCTTAAATATGCTGTTTGTGTTTGTCAGTTACATAATAGCTGGATGGCAAAATAAAACACTGGTTACTTTTAAAGGTATAGAAGTGGGGAGAGAGCTCCTAAGACTGCTCTTTGAAAAGCCCCATTGCTTCTGGATTTGACTGCCATTCTGGCTACAGAGCGTGGGCAACTGCTGTGGAGTTGAGATGAGAACACAGCAGAAAGTCTTTGCTACCTCCCTGCCTGGGTGTCTTCGCTCTCCTGCCCAGGACCTGCACCCTTTCAGATCTAGGAGCCTGAGCCTTAATTAAGCCCATATCTCATTCCCAGTGGTTCTAGGCTGCCTCTTGGAAGGAAGGAGATGTTGTGGTTCATTCTGTATACACTCAATACATAGCTTAGTGCAGGACTCATAATAGCTAATCGATAAAGGCTCAGGACATGCACCTAAGTGATTTGATCTCTCTGAGCTCACATTCAAAGACAAGTGCCTCATTAAAGCCCCGGAAAAAAACTAGCATCAACCCGCTGGAAAGGAAATTGCTTTTGATATTTTCAGGTGGTGGGGAGAGCAGTGTGGGCACCTGGAGACTAGAGGATGATGGAGTGGCTCTCCTCATCTGATTAATGCAGGGTTCAGATCTCAGCCAGTGGATGAGCTAGGACTGGAGCTTGTCAAGTTGTGCTGAAAAGTTAGCTTCCTGCAGAGTGCCTTTCTATTGCCTGAGGGGACATTCCTACAGCTCCCATCAGTCCCCCAACACCTCTCTACTGTGAGGAGTGCTTTTAGACCCACCTACTTCTCTCTAGCCACCTAGAGCTGTCAGAGTCAGAGCATGCACTTTCCTCTTGAAATACTGCTCTTCCTGCCTTCCTGCCTTAGTGCCAAGCCTTCCCTTTCATTGTTGTTTCTGTTTCCATGTCTAGAGAATTCTTGTAAAATAAATAAACAACTCTAACTCATGCCAAGGGCTTCATTTGAACTCAAGGAATATAAGAAACAGCCACTGTTTTCTCAAAGAAGCCAGGCCACAGGTACCAAAGACCAGTGTCATTTTGTGGCAGCTGTGATTTTTTTTCTCTCCTCCAAACTGTCTTCTAAAACTGAGAATGTTGAAGGTAGGTATCTTGTCTATAGCTCTGGGGTGTGAAGCAATAGGGGCACCTGTGTGTTTGCTGAGAAGGGGAGGCATTGTCAACATGCCATTTCAGTTAAACATCATCTCCTCTTCTGGGGTCATTGGGATCACAGCAGTGTGGATAAGCCATGGAGGAGTTAGGACCCCTAACGAGACAGACAGGAAAGCAATACATTTGTGTTACCCTGAAAGAAGGCACCCTGCTTCAAGCAGAGCTGCACAGGGAATAGAAATGTTGGATCCAGAAAAGGAAGATGTTTTCCCATGAGACCCTCTTGATTGCATGGGTCAGGCTGACATCTGTGGCTGGCCATTGTGTAGGGACTGTAAATCACTGCAGAAGGGGCACCCAGCTGTGGTGTCATGAGTTTGCACTCTACCACCAATTGGCTCTTTGTTGGTGATCAGGAGCCTGGCAAGGTTTCAGACTCCCTCCCCTTTCTGGTCTCTGGTCTTCATATCCCGGAATGTGGCTTTTCTTTGATCATCAAGATTCATGGGCTTTGTCTCTTTTCTGTCACTAACTGTTCCTTCTTGCCCCAACCTGTGTCTCTGTGGTGCATGTCAACTGCCCAAGTCCATGGCCTATACCAGGATTGGGCCCTTTTACATTCATCCCAATAGAGTCTCTGAACAGATAGAATGACTTAATGGTTGTTTCATAACCACATGTCCCTAGATGAAGAAGAGGAAGAGGAATGTCACCAGGAATTGATCCAAAAGAATTATTCTTTCCCAGGAGAGACCTAGTCTTAGGTACTGACCCCTGAGTTAGCTAAGGTTGACCCATTGATTGGTTCAGCCAGGGGCCTGGAACCTGTCTTCAATCTCTGGGCTAGTCTTGCTAAACCTCAAGATCAAGCAGGCAGGGAAAGGTTCTGACAGAATGTAGGCTGCAGTGCAGGGAGACAGTTGGAACATTCCTTTGGATATGGAGAATAAATACCCTCCATGTTAGAGACTTCAAAACTCAACCTTAACAGCTGCCTCCTCTCTCCTCAGTCACAAAGTACCTCCATTACTAAACTCTGCCACTGCCTTGGTTTCCCTCTTTGAAGCTTTGTGACTCCTCCATCATCTGGGGTTTAAACTTATTCTTGTTTTCCCCAGGCACTGTGAGTTTGTTTATTGATCTAGCTATCCGTATTGCTGTGAGGAGTCCATTAGTACAGCTGGATTGTGTACCCATTTACTTGTAGGTTTATCAGGGTTTGGAGGAACAAAATCTGTCTTACCATGTGAGGTCAGCCTGCCCTTGTCAGAGAAGATTCTAGCAAATAGTTTCCAAAACGTTATTGAGTGTAGGTACTGTAGTGGTTTGAAAGAAAATGGCCCACCCAAAGGAAGTGGCACCATCACTAGATGAGTTGTGGTCTTACTTGAGTAGGTGTGGTCTTGTTGGAGGACATGGGTCACTATGGAGGCAGGCTTTGAGGTCTCATATGTGCTCAAGCCACTCCCAGTGAGACAGACAACTTCCTGTTGCCTGCAAGCTAAGATATGGGGCACTCAGCTCCTCCTCCAACACTGACTGCCTGCACACCATATATACCACTATGTCCCACCATGATGATAATGGACTAAACCAGAAAATATAAGCCACACCAATTAAATGTTATCCTTTATAAGAGTTGATGTAGTCATGATGTCTCTTTACAGCAATTGGAAATCCTAAGACAGATAGCTTTGTATAGATGCACATCATAGGAAAAATCGATGAGTGTGAACAACCAGAACCAGGGTGTCTTGAGGAATGGAGATAGGGTCCAAGAGCATGCTGGTTAATTACTGTCACCCTCACACTACCTTGTGTGAGACTGAGATGTCCTCTGACCCTGGGCACTAGATGCTCCTCAGACACCAGGTTGTTCATGTCTTGACCAGGATAGTCACCTATTTTGAACTAGTGGGCTGAGTGAGGCTGGGGGGTGGGGTAAGAGTTTTTGTTTTAATAATTAAAGTCATTTTAAAAGGTAAAGTTGGAGGTAAGGAATTATAGGAGGCAAATAGGTCATTATGAAATGTCTCCATGGTGAGAGGCAACACCAGCTCTTTTAAATCTGGTTTGATTTTACCAATAAAGACTCAGGAGCCAGATGCTGGGGTGAAAACCTGCTAGCTCAGTCAGCCTAAGAAAGCAGCCAGCTGACCTCCTTCTGCTGTCATCTCAGAAGGAGACTTTTCTCCTATTCCATCTGAAACAACATCTCTAACTGGATGTCCCTCCCTGATACTTCCTGTGTCTCTCTATCCATCTTCCTGACTCCCTCTTACTCTTTCTGTGTGTGTGTGTGTCTCTGTGTGTGTGTGTGTGTGTGTGTGTGTGTGTGTGTGTGTGTGTGTGTTTTCCTGTCATCTGGTTGCTTGCTCTGCCACTAGACCTTTGGTTGACTTTAATCCTGTTTGCAGTAAACAAGCAGAAAGCTCTTGGATTAAAGAAGTGTGCTAGGGTTGAGTCACACCACGACTAGAAACAGGGTTTTCCATCAATCTTGGGGTACACCATGTGATCAAATCGAGCAACAAGAACCAGGTGCAGCTGATGGTGATGTGCGCTTGGCCAGTGGTAGAGCTTGGTGCCAGAGAGCACACACTGTATTTATGCTGGAGACACAGAGTCACTATTTTGGCAAGAGCACAGGCTAATAAAGAGGTGTAGTTTCCTTCTTATTTTTAAACAGGTAAAGTCTGGGTTATATTTTTATTTCATTAATGTATGGAGACTTTTCTATTTTGGAAGATTGTGAGTGACATCAGGGCCTATGGTCTTGGGGGCTGTGCTCTTTGCCAGAAGAGGTGTGTGGGCAGTTTGCACTAGGTTTCCAGGGCCATCCAAGGTTCTCATGAAACTGTCTGAATAAGGCTGTGCTGTTCAACCATCTCAACTGCAGGGTGCCTGTCTCAGGATCTGCAGCTCAGCTTTCTGCAAGCCTGTGTGGGTAGCTTGCTGCTGTCTCAGGTCAGCTGATACACAGCGTGCTGGTGGCTAGGTTCTGGCTCAACAGTATGCTGGCCTGCACAGCACCAACTCTCCACTGACTGGCACTGTTGGCCAGAAAGATGAATGCTAAGCCATCCTGGCCTTCAGAGAACCTGCCATCTGATGGAGGAGATTTGCTGTTAGCTCTGGAAATACTGGGAGAAGGCCAACTTCCAGCCATTACCTGGAGGAGCATGTCTCTGTAGTTCGCAAGCTGGAGGGTGACATTTCCCATGTCTACCAAGCTTACCCCACACCCTGGGGCAGAAAGCTCCCAGATGAAGGTTCTGGCCATTGTCACAAGAGTGGTTCGTGGTTGATCCAGGATCCAAACCAAACTCTGATTCCAGGGTCCTTGCTCCCAAAATGCTATTCTCAGGGTCCACTGCTTTTGTCCACATCTACTCCTGAGTGGTCTTTGTAAACCAGAGCTTGTGATTAACCTGGGCCACCAGGGTACAAGTGAGCCACAGTGTCTTCTGGGTTCTTGTCCCTGGGGTGCTAGCAGCAAAGCAGGTCTTCAGAGTCAAAGCATTCACAGTTGACTAACTGGAGTTCCAGGGCAGGTTCTGTGGCCCACTATTCCTTGGCAGGAAGCTTCTAGTGCAGTGGGTGTGTCCAGGCCAACCAGCAGAGCTGTCTTTTCAACTCTTTCGAAGAGTTGGAAGCCACAGTGGAAACTGTAATGACTGGAACATTCTGTGGCCACACTCCTGCTCTGCATGCCTGCTTTCCTCAGTCCCCGGAGCCCAACCTTTCACCTCCCAAACCTTCTCTGACACCAGGTGACACTGTACCCTGCTGTCTCAGTTTGTTTTCTGTTGCTGTGATTAAAGCATGGCCAGAAGAGGAAGGGATTTGTTTTGCAGACACAGCCATCTTTGAGGGAACTCTTACAGGACAAGAACTTGAAGCAGTCACTTTGGAGGAGGGACTGCTCACTGGCTTGCTCCTTGGCTCTTGCTGTCTTTCTCACACAGCTCAGGTTCACCTGTCCAGGGAGAGCAACACCCACAGTGGGTTAGGCCTTCCTACATCACTTGGCAATCAAGACAGTCCTTCATTGCCACAGGGCAATCCAATTGAAGCAATTTTCCAGTTGAGGTTGGCTCTTCCCAAGTGGCTCTAGTTTGTGTCAGGTTGACAATAGATGTAGCACACTTCTGTGTTGATTCAGATGTCAATTTAGTAGGTGTAGCCTTTGTTCTGTGAGCATTTTTTGATGTAACAGAGATGCTTCAAAAATGATTGCTTATGCTATAAGAGTGTGTGTGTGTGTGTGTGTGTGTGTGTGTGTGTGTGTGTATGTGTCTGTGGTATGTGAGGGGAATGTGTGTGTATGTAAGTATGTATATGTGTGTGTTGTATGTGGTATGTGGGGGGGGTGGTATATGTGGTTCATGTGTGTGGTGTGTGTTGGTTCTTTTTTGTCATAGTGTTTTGCTCTGGTGAGTGTGTGGATGAGTGTACGTGTGTGTGTGTGTGTGTGTGTGTGTGTGTTTGTGATATTGTTTTGCTCTGGTGTATGTGGGGAAGTATGTGTATGTCTGGTGTGTGTCTCTGTGTGTGTGGTGCATGTGTGCATGTGTGGGAGTATGTATGTGTATGCAAGTATGTATGGGTGTGTGTGGTATGTGGTGTGTATGTATGTGGGGGTGTGTCTGTGTGTGTGGTTATGTTTGTATATGGTATATGGGGTGTGTGTATGTGTGGTGTGTGTATTGGTTTTTTTCTATAGTGATTTGCTCTCTGGTTCAGAATGATCAGTATAAAGTAACAGGAAGTCACTGTGTAGCCAGGGTGGCATTGCACTCATTATCTTCTTGCCTCATCCACCAAAGTACTGGGATTACAGGCCTGAGTCACCAAACCCAGTTTAAGGAGTTAATTGAAGAAGAAAAAGAATGGGAAATCAGACAAAAACAAAACAAACAAACAAACAAATGAAAAACAGCCAACCTTGGAGCTCTGCCCTTGTGCTCTGGGGCTTAGTGCTTCCATTTGTAGAAAGTGGCCTTGGGTGGTGTTTAACTCCCGGGGACCTCACTTTCACTGTGGGGAATGGGAATGGTAACACCTCCTACAGTTATGGTTTTATTTATTGGGCTAACAGAGGCAAAGTGACTGACAACAGTCTGGTATTTGGGAGGCATCTGATTAAAGAAAGATGATAGATATATCAGCGAGTATGTCAATTCCTGTCTGGGAGAATGTTTATTTATTATAACAGAAGTTTCTCTTGTTGCCTGATTTGTGTGTGTGTGTTTGTGTGTGTGTATGTGTGTTCTCATTCTAAGACATCTTTTTGCCATTAGATTGGAAAACAAGGCTTATGAGTCATAGCCCACTTTACATCTGGAAGAGGGCCGTGGCTGGTTTTGATGGATGCAGGAGCAGCCGCTCTGTAGTAAACAAATCAATATTCCCATGACATAAGCACTGTGTGTGCTGCTCAGAAATGCGATCCGTCCGTCTGCTGAGCTTGCTCTTGGGGTTGCAGTCACCCAGCGTGACTCACTGCTCATGGACACAAGCAAGCTTTGAACAGTGTGGTTGTGAGAAGCCCTGAGGACATACATCTCACACCTACCTGGTTTGATTGTTCTGTTTCCCACTGAGAGAGAATGAGGTTGTGTCTTTATATTGGACCCTGGCCAGAGCTGTTGGTTTAAGACATTCTGAGACTTTCCAGACACCAAATTAGACAGATTTAATTATAGACAGTAAAGCAATAATCTTTTTGCTAAGGATTTGGGCTTTTTTATGCCTGTGACTGTAAAAGGCAAACCGCACAGGCAGACAAATGAGACAACAGCCCCTGCTTACTTAGCTGCTATACTAAGATTTGTGACAGGTGTTGATATTCTTTATTTCCTTCTGTCAAGAAAGCCTAGTAAAGCAGACATTCAGATCTTATTGTGTAGAGAACTAGGGGCCAAAAGCATCAAGGGTGTGTCTCCATGGCCTTGGGAGAGGATCCAAGATTGCCTGAGTCTGTCTGATTCCGAAAACTGCAGGGGTTATGCTCCCTTTCCACGTGGCCACCACAGACAAGGCATGCCACTTCCATGCCTGCCACACGTAGAATAGAGCTTCACCACCAAGCCAAGTGTCACCTCATAGCCGGTCAGCAGTGCTGTGTAGGTCGGGGGGTGGGGGTGGCATTGTAACCCTATTTTTCCCTGATTACCTGCCCTCTCTTGTCTTGGGAAAGCCTCCAAGGATGGCAATTGGTTTGTTTCTGATAACTCCACCATCCTGTGTCTCAAACAGAACTCCAAAGCATCTCTTATCTACAGGTAGATGTAGGTGCGCCATGTTCCCAGCCAGATTCCTCATCAGAGCCCCACAGACATATCAAACTAAGGGCCTGTGTTTACAGTGGTGGTTCTCAACCTTCTTGACATTTTAATATAGTACTGGGTTTTCAGGACGCAGTCACCATTGCTACTTCCTTAACTGTAGGTTTCTATTATTATGAATCATCATGTAAATATCTGATATGCAGGATATCTGACTTGCAACCCTTTGAAAGGGTTGTTTGACCTCCAAAGGAGTCATGTGACCCACAGGTTGATAAACACTGTTTTAGAGTCCAGGGCAATATTTTGCACATGATGTCAAGTCTGTGGAAAACAGCATTGGGAAGTTGGCCTTGGCCTCCCTCTCTTCTTCCTTCTTCCCTTTATCTTACCATTTCCCCTCCTTCCTTCCCTTTCCTTCCCCTTCCTTGCCCTGTCCTGTCTGCCAAAGGCTGTTTCTCTCCCTCTGACTCTTACCGTCTTTCTGCCTCTTCTTCTCCAATGATCCCTGGGCCTTGTGAGTAGGGTTGTGATATTGCTGTCCTATTTAGAGCTAAACGCTTTAAAATCCCTTCCTCTGTCCATGTTGTAGGACTTGTATCAGTCACTCTGTCCACTGACGACACCTCTCTGATAAAGGAGGAGAGATGTGCTCCTCTATGGGAATGACGATAAGAACTTAGGAAGTAGTTTAATGTGATGTCTGTTTAGCAGAAGAGTAGGTGTAGGTTCATCCCTAGGGCCTATGACTCATGCAGCTGACAGTACAGAGTATGAGTTTCATCTTAATGGCCACACTGTAAACCCAGTCAGAAAGTGCTTGGTCATCCCTGTAATATTCATACCAGGATCGCACCAATGGGCTTATGTTGCCAGGCCAGTAGTGAAGGTAGCTCTCAGAGTTAATAGCTAGCTGTTTGCTTAACACACCACTTTGTCTTTGGTATTCGGGACGTGCAGGTGTTTACACACTTTTCTTTCTTCCAGTGCCTGAAACAGTATGTTGAGCTCTTAATCAAAGAAGGCCTAGAAACTTCGATTAGCTGCCCAGATGCTGCATGCCCGAAACAGGGCCACCTTCAGGAGAATGAGGCACGTTGGGGTGGGAAGGGGGCGGAAGGACACAACACGAGGTTTGGTTGCCTGTTTGTGGTGGGCTTTGGTTGGTTTAGCAGGATCCTGTTGTGTTGTATGACATTCTAACCCTCTGTGTATCACAATCCTTATGTCTGCTTTTTTTCCCCTTTTTCTTTTTCTTTGCAGATTGAGTGTATGGTTGCAGCTGAAATTATGCAAAGATATAAAAAGCTACAATTTGAAAGAGGTAAGTGGCCTCTGTTGTGGCAGCCAGCTTTGAATCCAACAACAGAAGGTGGGCAACATTGATGGAGCTTTCTTTTGGGAGACATGAGTGTACATCATTTGCTGGGAATGAAAAAAGATGCAACAAGGATGGAAAGCATCAGCGTAAATTGTGCCTCTGAAATAATGTTGGCGGAGTACCCTCTGAGCTGCTTACAGCCTGGCAGCCTGGACTTGTGACCTATTTGGCAGCAGAAGGGACTCAGGAGACACTATTTATATACAGAGATCGGGGCTTCTTGCTGGTTTAAGAAGATTCTTAGTCCCTATTTTCTTTAGCCAGGTTTGGGTCTAAACTCTTAGACTGGCCCTACATTTAAAAGACCTAAAGTTTGGAACTCCTGCAGGTCCCACTGTTGAACGCTGCATCTAGATTCATCCTACCCTGACTCACTACCCCTTGAAGGCTTAGGTAACAGTGCTCATGAGTAACTGAGCCTTGGGCCTCAGTGAGTACCCCAGGCTTGTCATACCACAGTCCACTGTGCTCATACCCATGGCAACTGGGTGACTTGTGTGCTTTCTAACTCTAATGGGGATCTAGCCACATCTCCAGCCTTGAGAGCTAACTAACTTCTCCACTCCTGCTGGGTCCTTCACAGACCACTTCTTTTTAGATCCAATCCTGGAGAAGACAGATAGATAGATGTGTGGAATATACTCAAAAGAGTTGGTAACTTTATTCGGTGACCTCATTGCCAGACACTGAGACATGCCGAATGCCATGTGAGGCCTTTATCTTGCTCTCTGAAGTGCTTTGCGATCATAAAATGGTGTTTGAAGGAACATACAGGTCCCATCTGCTCTGCTCTCAGAGACCCGAGGTCACTGCAAAGAGTAGATGGGAGATAGGGTAGTGCAGGTGGCTTCTGCTGCAGAGCTTCTAGGAGGACACCCCATGAGTGCTCTGACGAGGCAGTGAACACTACTATGACCACATCCCCTCTGCCTAGATACCATGAGCCTGGATCAGAGGCTTGCTGCTGAGCCAGATCACAAGGTGAAGTGCTTATATGGAATGCAAAATGCAGGGCAGGATGCAGTAGTGTCAGAGGGGTGTGGGTGCTACAAGTTTGAGGTTTAAAAAGAAAACAAGAGAAATGCTAGAGATAATCTTTCGTTTACTTAAAAATATAACACACATACACATGTATATAAGTGTGTGTGTGTGTGTGTTCCTCTGTGTGTATATGTATAGATAAATTTAAAAATCAGTGGGGTTGGAGAGATATCTCAGCAGTTGAGAACACTTAAGTTCTTGCACAGGACCTTGCTTTAGTTCTCAGCACACAGGTGGTGACTCATGACCATCTGTAACTCCAGTTCCCAGGTGTCTGATGCCCTTTTCCGACCGCCATGAGCATGGCATGCATATGGTTCACATACCCATGCAGACATACACATAAAAAATTGCATACATGCACAGCACATACAATTAGATTAAATAAAGCTTTTTACAAGATCAACAGGGATTTTTAATTTGTTTTCAATTCTGACTTCAAAATTTGTTTTTTCAGAGTCTGTTTCTTTAAATGACAGGCATCATTTACATTGGGTTAGCTCACCTTAAACCTAATGCCCTGCAACATTAAAGACAGAGCAGGGCGTTATGGAGTTGGCTCATTTGGATCTGAGAACCTCAGACTCCTTTAAACCCAGTTTCATGGGATGTAAACAGAGACTGGGAGTTATTTCAATCACAAGGACATGAACTTTCTTTGACATCAAAATTTAATTCCAATATGAAGTGGGGTAGGTTTTTCAACCAAATAATTTTAAGCTTTCTTTTTTCCCTCTGGCTTCATCTAAAAGATTCTGACTCTTGCATCAGAAATGAATCACCTTAACTTAGGTTAGAAAAATACAGGAAACTGTAACTAGAAAACATCTTAGCAGCCTAACACTGAGTAATGTTTTAAAAGGATTTGGACTTAATACCACAGAAGTGCTGGCCAGATGGAATGTTAGAAGTGGGACGTAAAACACAGCTGCATATTCTAGTCAGCACCTTGGATGAACCTAGAGATGTGATCAGAAAGCTAACTCTGACTTGCTTCATTCCTTCAAAGTTTAGTCCATTGGGGATGCCTTGGAAGGAAACTCATTTAGATGATTTTCTATCATTTTTAGTTACAGAGAAGACCAACGGTGAGTTTAAGCTTCAAACACCTCTTTATTTAGCCATGGTGTGTCTTGACTGACCCAGCAGCCTGGATTTTCATTTTCAATTCTTGACCTCTCCCCAGTGAAGTCTTTGTCTATCTGGAGGCCAGGGAGGGTTCTTGGGTACTGCTTTTGCTTTCTGGAACCTTCTGTCCCGTTGGGCAAACTCTAGCACCTGGGTGAGAAAAGGTTCTAGAGAAAGGTCCATGGAGCACAGCATGCTCCTGCAGCTTCTGAGTGTTTCTTTCCAGTCTGTCTGGAAGTACATGGTATCCCAATTTGATCCTTTTGTTTATTAAAAGAAAAGAAAATCTCAGAGTGATTAATAACACAGCCAGGTCCATTTCCATCCTTAATAAGAACCAGAGTCCTCAGTTTGCAGTGTCTTCCCAACAAGGTTTAACCCACCACCACCACCCTAAGGACCAGGGTACTTAGTGAATCAGTCAACACAGCAGCAGGGAGCACAGGAGGGTGTGTTGGGTGCCAGTCCCTCAGAATGCTTCTGCATACCATTTGTCTTCAAAGAGTAAACCACCCTTGTGAAAATTTGTTGGATTTTTTTCTAATAGATCTCTTGGGTCTCTGCTTCATCAAGGATCCCTAAGAAATGCACATTAACCCCCGTCTCCTGAAGACAAGTCCTGTGGGACTAGTAGGTCTTTGGCAGAGTAGAGTTATGACTGTATTCTTTTGCTTCCCCAGAATGCAGAACCTGCTCCACGTTAACATATCTCATATACATACATGTGTGTATATAGTAGATATAATACACTATATAGGATGCAGCATGGATAATGCGTTATTAATAGACACTGGTGACAGGGAAGCCGAGAGACATATTTATACATTCTAAGAGAAGCACATAAGTGATGTCTGCTCTGAGCTTTATTACTGACTGACCCCTGCTTATATGTACAGCTGGAAGAGCTGAGCAGTGGAAAGAACAATGATCATATTAATAGATTTCAGCTAGGGGTTGGGGCTGCACCGTCGGCCTCACAGCCCAAGAAAGATGCTGTAGTCTGCTCAGAGGCAGATCACTTCCCCTCTGCCTGTAGGGAATCTCTCCATGTGGTAATAGGCAGGGCCATAAAGGCCCTGAGTAAACCAGTCATAGACTTGGAGTTGTTACCATGGAAACCTTTCTTAGGCCTCCCTTCCATGCCACAGCCGAATGGGTCTTCTGTGATAAAGGTACAAGATGGCCTCTCCCACTGTCATCAGAAGTGTGTAAAAAGAAGCCTGTCCCACTGATGTCTAGGGCTTCCAGAACACAGGAGGGTCACCAGGCAGGACACAGAGATTCCCAGGGTCTGAGATAGGAAGCTTACTCCCAGCAAGGTTTAACTACAGCATGATATTAATTAAACAGTAATCCAGAGGCCTGGGTCTATGTCACACATTCAGTATGTTGAGTTCCCATGTCCCCCTTTCCTCAGAACTTCCTTCAGTTCCTATGCAGATAGAGTACATCATATTGGTCTGAGACCAGGCTGGCTCCTGGATCACATGCACAGAGAGAGTCAGAGGCCTGGTAGGTGAATCTGAAGTTGTGTGTTAACAGGGAAGAGCTGCTAGCAGTGAAAATCCTGAGGGTTCTTGAGCTATTGGGAGCTCCCTGGTGATTTCCTCCCAGCATGCACTTGAGAGCTGGGAGGTTGTAGGGACCTCTCAGCATCCCAAGACTGCAAGGCAACCCTTCTCCATGTGCCTCTATTCTGACTCCACACAAATCCACACGTTCAGTGGTCAGGAACCTTCTTCAGACAGCACACATTGACACCCCAGTTGGACAGAAGCTGCTGTTCATTCTCTTGGTGTCAGGGGCATCTCAGAGATTTTACAGTACCGTAATGGAGTCCAATCATTATGTGTGATGCAGGTTCTCAGGTCTGGAGTCCCCCTGTTGTCACATGTACCATCTCTGGCTGTTGCTGTCATATCAAAAGATATATGCTTTTATGCTTTTAATGAACTTACCTTAACAAATAAGGCAAGGAGTTATACTAGATTAAAGGTCAGCTGCCATGGATACTAGACCAACCCATCTCCTACCCCCAGCTACTATAATTTAGGTTTCCTCAGAATCGGGTAGTCTGCTCTTAACCCCAGTAGCAAACCAAGTAGATGTTGCAGAAACCCCCAAATCACATGGTCCCTAGCAATGTAAATAATCCCTACTCTGCCGTTCACAGAGGCTGACGGTCCTCTACTATAGTCGGTAAGGTCATTATTGAGCTTATACCTGAGAGGCTTGCTCCTTCGGGACTGGACAGAATGTCCCTTATTCTTGAGGAACATAGAACCCATGGAAAGACACACACACACACAAGCTGTGTGAGGTCATGAACTCTGCAGCTTCAGACCTTGTGCCTGAGGGTTTATTTGGCTCACAGTTTGAAGTTCTGTAAGCACACCACAGTAGGGAAGGCATGGTGGTAAGAATGTGAGGCTACTGTTTACATTGCATCTGCAGTCAGGAAGCAGAAAGGGATGAATGCCTGTTCTTAGCTTGATTGTTCCTTTTTATTCAGTCCAGGACCCCAGTGCATGGGACTGGTGCTCCCTACAGTTAGAATGAGTCCTCCACTTCAATTGTCCTAATTTAGGAGCTGCCTCATCGATGTGCGCATAGGTTTATGTGCTAGGTGATCAGTCAGTGCTCATCATAGCAGCCCTCTGCACTCTCAGTCGGCTGGGTGTCCCATTGAGTAGAGTTCCCACTTTTTAATCAGGTGAGCCACAACCATGTCTGGCTACCTGGGGTAGGGCCAGGATGCTTGCAAACAAGCACCCTTTTCCTTGCACCTTAGCAAGTTCCTTTTGCACATTTGCCCATCAAAATCTTAATGCTCCCCAGATTGCTTCTCAAGAGCAGCCCAACTACAAAGCTGAGGGCCAGTGGCCCATGCAGCCTCGTGGAGATGGTCCAGCAATCCACTGGCCTGCCATGGTCCCTGTCAGAATGTTAGCCTCCTGTTGGTGTCACCTACCTTATCTGGTGAAAGTTCCAAGTCCACTAGAGAGGAGGGGAAGTGAGATGCTGGGCTGGCTCACCATGGAGGGCAACTCAGGACGAGTTATAAATGCAGGGCTTGGATCAGGATGTGAAGCAAGGAATGCCACCATATCCTGTTTTTAAACTAAACTTCCTGACCAGTCCCATTAAGAAAGGCTTTGCAGTAGCTTGGGCTTAATCTGCAGGGAACGCAAAGTGCTAGTTTTACCCAGGTTTAGACTTGGCAAGAGAATCTGTCTTGGGCATGTGGATCACCCTACTAAAAGACTAACTACGAACAAATTAAGACTCCTAGTTCTGGAAATGCCATCGCAAAAGCCATGGTTCTGTATGCCACCACAGACAGGAAGAAAGGCCATAAGACTAATGCAACATTTTCCTTCCCTCCTTCCTTTGCACCTTCCAACAAGATTTGCAAGTGGCTATGTGTGAACCTGACACTGTGTGGTGAGGGTTGAAGACAAGGCTGTCAGTGGGAACATGGGGGATGGGTCAGACAAGGATCTGGTTATGTCAACACTCAGAGAGACTGGACTGGGTGAGCACTATGGCGGGTGCGGGAGCCCTTGGCATACCAGGTCCGAGGGTGAAAAGCTGAGAGAGGCTTGGGTGGAGTTGGATGAACACAAGGGGAGTAAATTATCAGTTTATCTGGAGTGTGTCTGGCTGGGTCACCTGGATGGCCTCCATTCTGACTGCCTTTGTTGGTGCCACAGAGGGTCTTCTCCATACTCACCCTCTCCAGTGTCTGTGGTATTCTGAACCTGATTTTTATCTTCTGTGTCCTTGTGCTAGAGGTGCTTTTTGACCCTTGCCGGACGTGGTGCCCAGCATCCACCTGCCAAGCCGTGTGCCAACTCCAGGACATAGGGATTCAGACCCCCCAGCTGGTGCAGTGCAAAGCTTGCGACATGGAATTCTGCTCTGCTTGCAAAGCCCGCTGGCACCCTGGCCAAGGCTGCCCTGATACCATGCCAATCACCTTCCTTCCTGGGAGACCAGGTAGGGTACAGCTATGCAGGAGCTGTGGAAGAATGAATGGGCTGGGAGATGAGAGCCATGGGCTGGGGCTATGACTGGCAGAAGGTGTATCTGGAAAGTGTCACCTGAGAGCATGCGACCATAAATCACTGTCCTCAGTACACAGTCTACCTCCTGAGTTTTTCCTACCTATGGTTTATTTGTAAGAACATTTGCCAGGTGCAACACAAGTTTCTGGGAATGTAAAGATATGTAAGAACCTCTGTCTACACCCTCCATGAAATGATAGATGCACTGTGAGATACACACCTAGGTTAATGCTTTGGTACCTGCAATTTTCCCACAGCTAACCTCTGTTGGAGGTGATCTGAAATAAGAGTGTAGGAATAAGTAAAAAAGGTGATAGTGAGTACTGGCAACAAGCAAGATTACTAATAGGTCTATAGGTACCTGAAGCTAAGAGACCCGTATGTATCTCTTTAAAATTGAGTCTATTAGAATATGGCCAAAACACTACTGAATTTCTTCCGTCTTGCTCCTTCCAGTCAAATAGCCCAGCTGTTTGCGTAGGTGAACTTTGTAAATTAATTCCGTGAACGTTAGAATTTAACAAAGTGAACCATAAGAAACTGGTTATAGCAGGGGCATCCCTCCCCATACTGTCATGTTGTTCAGCTTGGTAAAGTGGCCATGCTGCTGAAGAGATTATCATGACTGCCCGCCAGTCCCTGGTTTTCCTTGTTTCCCCATCTTCAGGAAGATGCCCTAGCCATGCTCCACACAGATCCTCTGTCATCTCTCACTTTGTACACTGTCGCCAGACTAGGTCCCTCTCCCACCATGTCCCTTTTCCAGAGCCTTCTTGCTGCCCTTTGTACAGGGTTCTCATCTCTTCTGTTAGGCTTGGTGATGCCATCCTTTGCTTTCCTGCTGCAGTTTGGATGCATGAACCACCATCCAGGACTTGCTATGTTGTAGGTCCCTGTTCCTGTGGCTGATGCTTCTGCCATCAGGGGCTATGCATACATTGGTGTTTGATACTAGCAAAGACCACTGAACTTAAATGCCAGGTTATAGAAGCTTCCAGACTCAAGGAAGAAATGTCCTTGCTATGGAGCTTGATTAAGAGTAATTGGCAGAGGTTGACTTCCAGGAGGGGAGAGCTAAAAGCAAATGAGGCATCTACTCAGGGAAGCAGTCCAGTAGTTTGTCCCTAGGAGTAAACCCTAGTAAGTTTGCTTCTTAGTTGGAATAACAGGAACGAAGGGTACTTTCTAGTGGAATAAAGGAGCCTCCTAGCCCAAGCATTTTCCATACTGCAAACCTTCCTCAGGGGCTGGAGATGAACTCAGTCAGTAGACTGTTTATCTAGCATGCAGTAAGCCCCATGTTCAGTAACCACCCCATGCACACACCAGAGTTGATGGCACATGCTGTAATCCTGGCATTCAGGTGGAATTTGGCACTATCTTCCTGGATTATACTCCATTTTATATTTTGAGGCAGGGTCTCTCAGTTGAACCTAGAGCTCATTAACCAGTGAGACTAAGCAAGCCAGCTTGCCTGGGGATACTCTGTCCTTACCTGTCTCTAGGGCTGAGGTTACAGACAGATGCCACACCAACCCAGTTTTTACATGGGTTCTTGGGATCCAAACTCTAGTCCTTGTGCTTCCAGGGCAAACACCCTTCCACTGAGGCACCTTTCCAGAATTTCTATCAGTGGACAAAACAGAACCTAATTCATGTATCTCATGACACTTAGTAAACCAGAGGACATGATCATGAGGAATTTTCTCTGATAATCATCAGACAGGCTGCACCCCTGGAATGTATGGTATCTTCTCTTGGCCTTTATCATTTTTCTTCCAGATATTTTATTTAAGAGAATAGCCATCTTAAAGAACAAACAGACAAAAAATAAAACTGATATGGATGTCTTCCTTAGCCATGCCTAAATACCTGTTTTACTTTTGAAACATTAATTAACAGTATTAACTTCTTGCTACTTTTCACCAGTTGCTGTCTTAGCATGACCAAGGCAACTCTTAAAAAGGAAAGCATCTATGGGGGCTGGCTTATAGCTTCAGCAGGTTAGTCCATGATTACCATGGTGGAAAGCAGACCTGCATAGTGCTGGAATGGTAGCTGAGAGCTTTACATCTTAATTTGTAGGTGGGAAGGTTGGGGAGGGAGACACTGGGCATGGTGTGAGCTTTTGAAACCTTAAAGCCTAACCCCATATGTCCTCCAAGAAGGCTGCACCTACTCCAAAAAGGCCATGTCCTAATCTGTCTAATCCTATTCAAACACTCCTCTGGTGACTAAGCATTCAAATGTATGAGCCTATGGCAGCCATTCTCATCCAAACCACAACAGCTACTTGGCACAAGCAGGATACTTTCCTGGGCTCACACTGAAAACTAAGGCTTGTAGAGATGTCCTATAGCTGGTTTGTGGAGGAGCTAGCATCTGCCACCAGACCTAAAGCTATAATAACCATTGTACATCCATCCTAGGTCTTCAGGGAAATGTAAACAGTCCAGGTAGATCTTTGGAAGCAATTGTGTATCTTTGTGTGTGTATGCTTATGACTTCTTTTCCTGACAAGACCAAAGTGCATAAAATGTATTATCTGCTCTTTGGAAAATGCACACCTTTCTGAAGCCCCAACACCATTTCCCAGGCTCTCTCTGGTACAAAGCTTCACACTATATATTAGTTTTTCTATAGAAATATAAAGTTAGATATGTGTTGGTGTTGCCTTTTCTTTGTGTTTTGTTTTTACCTTAGTCAGGCAGCTCTGCTCTGTTTTGGCTGTTTGTTTTCTGGGGTGTTTGTTTCTTTGTCTTTAGTAACAAGAGGTCTGGGATCCCTGCTATAGGGAGGTGCTCCTAGCACAGCCCTACTGCTGGGTCTCTCTTGATCCTCATTGCAGAACTCTCACACCGTGTCTCCCACAGCTCTGCTTTCAAGATGGAGGAGGGTGATGCGCCCATCAAGCGCTGCCCCAAGTGCAGGGTGTACATCGAGCGGGATGAGGGCTGTGCACAGATGATGTGTAAGAACTGCAAGCATGCCTTCTGCTGGTACTGCCTGGAGTCTCTGGATGTGAGTACTGCACAGCCTCACATGGGAGCCATGAGCAACATGGCATGGCAGCCATGAACCCCGGGGTCCAGATATGTGGGAGAGGAAACTGGGGGCACTTACCCTGGGGGAAGCTGGAGGCCATGCTGGTGACAGAAGGAAGTAGCAGCAGGGTTCTGTGTTTATAGGAATCTTGGTTCCCTGGGGTGAAGCTTGGCCACACTAGCTGGGTATAAAAGCTTAGGGCAGGCTTTGGGTTCAGCTTTCTGTTGAAAAGTGTTGGGGGTCTCTGAAAAAACACCAGAGCTGGCAGAGTCAACCTCCATGTGTGGCAAGAAGGAAATATGGTTCAGCATGACTGCATAGCTGCTGCTGGTTCAAACTGCATAGCTGGTGCTGGTTCAGACATCTAGAGTCTTACCCCAGGCAGTTTATTTTAGTCATATTTAAGCACACTGCAATTTGGGGAAAACACTTCCTGGTGTAACACAATCCTGTGTGCACAAGGAGCCACAATCACAGTGAAGCTCTTCTCTGAGCACAAGTGTCACTTCTTCTGTGGAGATGGGACCTAAGGATGGGGTACATGTAATTTAAGAAAAGTGGTTCGCGAGAGAAAGACACCGTAAGATAGGGTTCAAGCAGAGGGGTTATTTATTAGGGAAAGTGATCATAAAAAGGGGAAAGGGATGGGGGGTGAGGGTGAGGAGACTGGCAGGAGAGAGGAAAAGAGGAGGGGAGAGACGGAGAGAAAGAGAGAGAGGAAGAGGATGGGAGGTGGTCAGGGCCCTTTTAAAAGGGAACATAGTGAATATGCACAGGTGGTGCTCTTAGTAGCTGCAGCTAATGGCATGTATTGTCAGGACCTCAAGGGCAGGCCAGTACAGATGGCTGAATGCTAAGACATGTGTTATCTTAAGGGCCTTGGAAGAAGCTGGGATGGTCTCGGTCATGCAGATAGCTCACATCTTTTTGTTCCCAACAAAAGAAGAGGTGCTTTGTGTCTTAGAGTCTCAGTCTTTAGGGCCAAATCTGATGAGACTGTATGTTATGATAGGGTATCACAGACTGGGTGACAAATAGCAGACATCCGTTTCTCACAGTTCAGGTGCTGGAGAGCTAGACTATGACAGCTGCCAGGTGGGGTCCTGATGAAGGCTCCTTTCTGGTCCTCCTCCCAGGGCCATGTTGGAAAGAGCAAGCTCAGGTCTCCCCACAAAGATGCTATTCTTGTCAGGGACACATCCTCATGTTCTATCTCATCTAAACTTGGTCACGCCCAGAGGCCCACCTCCTGACACCACCAAAACAGGACTTGGAAGTTCGATGAATTCCAGAATTTGGGTGTGTTAGAAAGCACACTCAGTAGAACAGCAGGTAAAATGAAAGTACACACAGTAAACCAATAAGTCATGCTAGGTGTCTGGAAAGGTCTGTGCCTCATCTACATGGAAGAGAAATACATATTCCCTTTGCTGACCGCCAAAATAGAAGTTTCTAGCTTAATCTAGCAATCATCTCCAGTTCACTCTCTAGGTCAAGTCGCTGCTGTTGCTGTTATTGCTGCTAGAGCAGCTTCTGACAGCCCCCCTCTCTAGTTTCCTCTCTGTTGCTGTGATAAAATACTTTGATCAAAAGCAATTCAGGAAAGATTTTTCCTTTTCTTAACTTTTTTGTGTTTTAAATTTTACAGGGAAGTCAGGGCAGGTACTTGAAGGATCTGTGGGAAAATGCTACTCGCTGCCTCACTCCCAGCCTGGCTAGCTGATACAGGCTAGGATCACCTGCCTAGGGAATGGTGCTGCCCACAGTGGGCTACACTCTGCCACATCAATTAACAATCAAGAAAGTGCCCCATGGACAGGCCCACAAGTCACTCTGATTGGGCAAACCTCAATCAGAAGTCCCTCCCTCAGGTAACTCTAGGCTATGTCAAGCTGACAGTTGGAGCTGAGCAGGAGGACAACTATCCACAATGATATTAGGACTTTGGTTTTGGAAGAGTTTGATTATTTGATTATGTATACTTTAAAAGACTGTCCTTAAAATAGTGCTTTAAAATCTCTTGTTAAAGATCTCCTGAGCAAATTGGGAGCAGGGTTGGGGGGAGAGGAGAGGGAGTTAGGAAAAAGAGAAGGGGGAGAAGAGGAGGGAAGAGGAGGACATGAGGGAACAGGAAGATTGAGTCAGGGGAAGAATAAAGATGAGCAAGAAAAGAGACACCATAATAGAGGGGAGCCATTGTAGGTTTTAAGAGAAATCTGCCACTAGGGAAATGTCCAGAGATCTACAAGGATGACCCCAACTAACAATCTAAGCAATAGTGGAGAGGCTACCTTAAATGTCCTTCCCAGATAATGACATTGAGGACCACCTTATATGCCATCCTAGAACCTTCATCTAGTCACTGATGGAAACAGAAGCAGACACCCACAGCTAAACACCGAGCTGAACTCCTGGAATCCAGCTGCAAAGAGGGAGGAGTGATGAGCAAAGGGGTCAAGACCAGGCTGGAGAAACCCATAGAAACAGCTGTCCTGAACAACAGGGAGCTCATGGACTCCAGTCTGATAGCTGGGAAACCAGCATAGCACTAACCCAGATGACCTCAATGTGGGTGTTAGTTAGGAGGACTGGGCAGTCTATGAGGTCTCTACTAGTGGATCAGTATTTATCCCTAGTATACAAATTGACTTTGGGAGCCCATTCCACATAGAGGGATACTCTCTCAGCCTAGACTCATGGGGGAGGGCCTGGGCCCTGCTCCAAATATGACAGACTTTGAAGACTCCCCATAGAAGGCCTCGCCCTCCTTGGGGAGCAGAAAGGGGATGGGATAGGGATTGAGGTGGACAGAGGAGGAGGGGAGGGAAAGGGAACTGGGATTGACATGTAAAACAAAGTTGTTTCAAATTTAAATAAAGAAAAAATCACTTGTTAAGCATTGTAGTCAGCAATAGTTCAAGTGGCTTGAACTGCACATCCTGACTGGTCTATTTATATCTGCTCTGGATGCATTGATGGCTAATTTTAGTGGGAAACCATGGTAAGCTTAAGAGCTTCATTCACAGACTTAAACATCACAGTGAAATCATGTCTTTAAGACCCACTGGCTATCATTTTCTGGCATCAGCTTGACTGAATTTAAAGCAAACAAACAAACAAAAACCTCCGAGGACATTAGAGACACAAATATTTGTATGTATGTGTGAACATGTGCGTTGTGGAGTGCATTTTTGTTGTATGTGTGTGCATGTGTATGTGGTGTGTGTGTGTGTGTGTGTGTGTGAGAGAGAGAGAGAGAGAGGAGAGAGAGAGAGAGAGAGAGAGAGAGAGAGAGAGAGAGTGAAAGGGCACTTTCAGAGAAGATTAACTGACAGGGAAGTCCCTCCTTCACAGACTTAGTCTTTCAAGTGCCAGCATGAGGTTTAGGTTGAAATAGAGGACAAGAGATAAGACATCGTAGCAGCCTTGGCCAAGGTGTGCCCCCCCCACCCCCATCGTTGTCTTAGCTCCAGTCTCTGCTTTGAGGCAGCCTGACAAGTTGTCAGGAAGTTGTGAACTCTTCCTGAGAGACATCCCTCCCCCAGTCCGGAAACAGGATTCAGCCTATTTCTTTTTCTATTTTGAGGCTCTTGGTGAAAGTTCATTATTTTTCAATAGTCTTATAGCCAAAGGGATTGGGTGTGACACCTCTGCCAGTGTGGTCGCAGAATCTGTGGAGTGAGGCCAAGAGTCTTCACCTGCCACCAACTTTCTGGAAGGTTTGGATAACCAATCAGTACCCACTTTCAAGGATGGAGAGTAGTAAAGATTTCCCGTGACTGATGCCACGTGGCTTGGTGTGTGTTTTAAAAGAGGAGTTCAGAGCCTTTTAGACAGCCACAAGACAAGATGCTGTGATAGGCAGATTTGGCAAAATGAGACAAGTGCACTTCTGCTATTCTCCCATTAACATCAGTGTGGAGGAAAGGGCAATGAGGAGTCCAGGAGGAGTCTCACAGCTGACAGAAGTGGCCAGGTGGGGCTAGAAGAGACTGTGCTCACCTGTCCAGGGGTGGTGAGACGGCTGCTGAACGTCTGCCTCCAGTGGTCATTGCCTGCAATTGCATCATAAAAGCCAGGGTTTAAGTCTGCACTGCCCCCTGAGGGACAGTGTGGCTTTGCTATCCCCTAGCTCCAGCAGAGTTGACCTGAGGAGCCAGAAATTGGTGGGTGGTTTCCTCATTTTCCCTGGTTTTCTTGTCCTTTCAGTCACATTGGACCTTATGATAATTTGCTCTTTTACTTAAGGAGAAACTTCCTGTTGGTGGCCTTGGTTAAATGAGCAAAGGGTATTGACATGCTGGTACCGTTTCCTACCCATTTCCTGTTGGTGATGGGCAGGCAGGGCCTCCTGATCCCCGATATCAGTGGTGCTGATACATATCCAGGTGCCCTGAGTGGTCAGATTTCTCAGATGTAACCACCACGGTGAGCACTCAGCCCAGGGACCTGACAGTCTGGAAGTGACTGTACTGAGTGTGAGGGGAGGCCACGTAGAGAGAGACATGGAACAGACAGTTCTGTGCACTGGGAAACAGAGAGAACTTGTGGGTAGAGGGTAGTTGCTGGACTGGTTCTCAAATAAAGGGAAACCTTGCAAAATGTTTCTGAAAATCTGAACTGAGGGAGGACTGGCCTGGTAGGAGCTGGCCTGGTCTCGTGGGAACTGACACAGGCAGGCCCAGAGAAAACCCGATCTCCCTCTTCAGTCCCCTGTGTTGGTACAGGCTCCAGAGATGCCACTATACTCTGGCTTAACACTGAAATCTGGCCCCACGATCCCCTCTGTGGGATGAGGCTAACAGTTTTCCTCTGGCTGCTCTGTGGAAAGGGCTGGTGGCCCAGAGGAACAGCACCCAGGTTTCAGCACATTGACCTCACTGTTATTCTTGCCTGTGTCCACATACTGCTGTATCTGGAATATAAAACATACTGACAGCCATAATCCAACATTCACCGTAGACCTTTATCTGCCCTTCACAGGATGACTTCCTCCTGATACATTATGACAAGGGGCCTTGTCGCAACAAGTTGGGCCACTCCCGGGCATCAGTGATCTGGCATCGGACACAGGTAAGAGGTTGCTTACCTGAATTTTGATCTCAAAAGGTGTGTGTGTGTGTGTGTGTGTGTGTGTGTGTGTGTGTGTGTTCTAGAAGACTTTCTAGTGATGCTGATGGTCCTGGCCCAGTGTTCGAATATGTATACATTTGGTGCCTAGCATCAGACTTGCTACTTAGCTGTGACTTTGGTCATGACCAGGCCTGCCTGGTGACCACACTGTTACTATTGGTCCTTGATGAAGAGCTGTCTAGAGCTGTCCTGAGAGAGGCAAGCAAGTTGCTAACAGAAAAGGATGAGGGGAAAGTAATGGAATATCGCTGTTGTCTACAAAGTCTATAAATGGCTTTTGGGTCAACTGATTCAGCAGTGGTGAATTATATATTAAGTGGTATTTGTCCCCTGTGTGCCAGCCACATGTGTAAGACATTCTTCTATGGAGCCTGCCTTCTGTTAGGTGCAAAGGGTAGACATGATGAACCGACAGACCCACCATGACATACAGCAGCTGTGAATGAGGGGTGCGGAAGGGGACTTAGATGACATGTGTGGGAAGATTCCTTGTGTCTTAGTGCTAGTTCTGAGTGTCAAGAAGTAGACCCATGTATGTGGGGGAAAGGAGAGAGGACAGGGCAGGTGGGTTGCTTGAATTGTGGAAGGGTGAATCCATGTGGGTAATGAGACAGGGGCTATGAGTTTAATCTAGGATTTTAGCAAGGCCGCATCTCTAAGGGTTTTGTGGGACCTAGCAGACATGGATTTTATTTACACTCAAGTGGGGAACTACAAAGGTGTTAGGAGTGGAGTTTGCAATACTCCCTAGTTGCAGGGGAAGAGGCTTCTTTCCTAGGAGTCCTCTGAGGTCACTGTGCCGGTCCATCTAAAGACAGAGACCCACTCTCTGCACATTAGCCTAGAGCTGGGAGTGGGTCTCACTGTAACTGCACTTCCCTAGCACTATTAGTTCCATGTTGATGGGGATGGAAACCCACAATTATGAGTGTCTGCAGCAAGGCTGAGGGTATCTCCTGTAAAGTGTTACTTGGGAGCAGGCAGTGCTCGTAGCCCACCAACCCTGGAAACAGGCCAGGCAGACTTCCCATTGCCACAGATGGGGCCACTGCTGAGAACTTCGTAAGAGCTGGGATTCCAGGAATTTATCTATCTGTGGCAGTCATGATTGACCTCAAGTCTAGCATGCTGTGACTGTAGTGTTTGTGGGTGTTGTCCTCAGTATAAAGTATGTTTATTTTGTGGGTTCCTGCTTTCTTACACTTCTTTGTTATTAAGTGGTAGCCTAGTTCTTGCAGATTTGGGGGTGCTCTACTCCTTGGAGACATTGCAGCAAGCTTTTTATCAGTTTTCTAAACATAAAGTATCACGCACTACATTTTACTCAGTGCCCCCTTGTCATATGCTCCATTATAACACATCTGCATGCTATGTATTTTTTTTAAACGCCCTTATCTTTTCAAGGCTTTGCACAGTTTACCTTGTCTTGAGATTATCCACGTGGGCACGCGCCCCCACACATACATGTGCGTGCACGTACACGCGCGCGCGCGCACACACACACACACACACTCACATGCTCATACATGTCTACTCTGGTTGACAAGGTCTTCTTTTGAGATAAACAGGAGTAGAAGGTGGTGGTATCTGGCTGGCTCTGCTGCTAACTGCACAGGAAGACATCTTATGAGCTACAAGTTGAGTCTCGGTTGATGATGGCAGAGACATGACTGGTGACCTCCTATCTCTGTTATTCTTCTGTCCAAAAGGATGAAGACCCTCTCTAAGCCCTCTCCACACTACTTCCTGTGTCTCTGTCCTCAGTCCTCCAAGACCTCTATGGTTAATTTTGGTCAGCTTGTTCCTGCCCCGCCTTGTGATTCAAAGTAAACATTATTGTCAGTCTCAGGGGTGACAGAATGCAATCAAAACACATGTCAGTGCTCACTGAGTGAAATGGTTTTGTTTTTATGTCACTTGCTTTTGTGCTTTTTTTCTCCTTCTGGTGATTTTGGCATCCACTAATGACCAACAGTCAGTGGCTTGGTAGGTCAGCTTACCAAACAGCATGCAAATACATCCATGGCAGTCGAGGAGCTGAGATGGTGCCTTATTGTGCAGAGTGTGAGCATGTGCTCATGAGTTTGATTGGAGGACGGGGCTCCTTCAAGGCTGGCAGTCAGTCACCTGCTTGCTGCTGCTCAGCTGGGAGCTCCAGATGACCTCAGGTGACCACTGTGCTCTTAGGGGCCAAAAATATAAGTATGCATGTGAGCTTTTAAAAATATATTTTTAAACATCATTTGCATACTTGGGTCCGCGTGTGTGCAGATGAGTGCAGATATAAAATGGAAATGTCAGATCCAGTAGAGCTGGAATCACAGGCATTTGTTTCTGGCCTTCTCAGCACCAGTGCTGGGAACCCATCTCAGGGCCTCTGTAGGGGCAGTGTGCAGTCCTACAGGCTGAACCTTCTCTCGAGCTCCTAGAGTCTTCATTTGATTTTAACACATCACCTGACCTACTCAGTGCCGTCCCACCACCAATATTATGTTTATCAAATGAGCATCCATCCTGGCTGAGGCTCAGCATCCTCACTGCCTCATTTTATCCCTGCAGTGTGATGTCTTTTATCAAATGTGATCTTATTTATAAATGTGGGTGTGTACATGCTTGCATGCATTGTGGTGTATCTAAATGTGTGTAGTTTGTTTCAAGGAAAAGTCCCAGTGAAGGGATTCTTTCCTTCACAACTGTTCGATGCTTTATTTGATAATTTCAGAGTTGAGAAAACAGACTTGGGAAGTCATGTATTTATCAACTGTTTGATGCTTTCATTTGACAATTGCAGAGTTGAGAAAACAGACTTGGGAAGTCATGTATTTATCATCTCTAGCACTAGGTGGCAGTCTAATTCCACATTCAGCTTTCAGAATTCAGAAGGAAGACTGGGGCTGATCTAAGTAAGGCTAGGGAAAAGACTGTGTTCATTTGAAACAGCCCCACTGGCTGATGTAAGCATCAGTTGGTCTTTATCTGCCAGTTATACCTAGAAAGAGGATGACACATGCTTTTAATCCCAGCTCTAGGGAGGCAGAAGCAGGTTGATCTCTGTGAGTTCAAGGACAGCATCATCTACAGAGAGAGTTCCAGGCAGCCAGGGCTACACAGAAACCCTGTCTTGAAAAACAAAATAGTGATAATACATAACAGTCCATGTTTGGTTTTAAACTCCAGAAAGGCAAGGGTAGCTCAATATAATGTCTAATGTCCCATGTCCCTGTCATTCTTATTCCAACATTTGAGGGTTCTTGTGCTTGCCCTCTTATACACTAAACCATCTGGGTATCTTTGTCATATCAGCCATTTTCTGTCCTCTAGCCAAAGGTAGGGCTCTATTTCTTGGATGATCTTTACCTGGAACTGAACCCACTTTCTGTGAGGTGTATTATTTAGCCTTTGATGAAATCATATTCTTTCCATTAGACAGTGTTCTTCTGGGGTGTCCTGATCTCAGATGTGTTTGTATTTGTAATAGCTAGCTATGGTCTAACTAATGATGGTATCTCAGGAGAAATCAGCAATTGGCTGAATGCACAGAAAAATGGATGGGGTTGGGGTTGTGAAGGGAGAAGAGGAAGGAAGGGAGGGAGAACAATGAGAAAGGAATATAAGTAGTTGAGACAATGGCTGGTTGGATAGATGGCAGGAGAGGGGTGTACATGGGTGACTGTCAAAGAATTAGATAGTTGAATGAGTGTGGATGGTGGATGGATACATGCATGGATCAGTGGATGGTTGGATGCTTATAAGTGGATGAATGAATGCATAGATGATGGGTAGTTGAATAGATGAATTTGTATGATGGATAGTTATATGGGCAGGCAAACTGTATGATGGGCCTATGGATGGATGGATAGATTATGATTGGAAGTATGGATGGAATGGTGGGTGGTGGTGTGGTTTAAACTTGGGCTGTGGAACTGTTCATCCTCACCTTTCCTCTTTGTTTCCTTTCAAGGTGGTGGGAATTTTTGCTGGATTTGGGCTCCTGCTCTTAGTGGCGTCCCCTTTCTTGCTCCTGGCCACACCCTTTGTCCTTTGCTGCAAATGTAAGTGCAGTAAAGGGGACGATGACCCACTGCCCACCTAGAGGACTGCGTGATGCTGGAACAGACGCTGCCTCGGGACATGTGGTTCCCCTACCCCTCACCAACCCCTTTATCACTAAGCATGTTTCTTGCCTTATGTGCCCCATTGAGCTGCAGAGATTTCAGGGATGACCTTGGCAAGTGGGCAGAGGCTTTGGGTGTGGCCTCCGGGGTGTGGGGGAGGCAGAGTGCAAGTGGGTGGGGCTCATCCCAGAGTCCTTCTGTGTCTGCAGACCTGGCCTGAGGTGGCATCAGCTGCACCTGAGGCAGTTTTATCCCCCCTGGTCATAGACTGGAAATGTTCCATGGGAGCTTACAAGACCCACTCAGACAAAGGGACACCTTGGCTTCAAGATGGCACCAAGTTGTCAGGAGAAGTCTTCAAGATTTAGAACTCTCTTCAGCCAGCACCTGATTATTATCTGACTTGAGAAAATCTCTCTGTTTGTGACAACTGTTTTTACTCCTAAAGGCATTTAGTAAAATCCTTTTTTAGAAGGCTTTTTTTTTTTTTCTTGTCAACTGAATAGTGAAAATCAACAAGGTGCGTATAAACCATCCTATGCCTTTTTTGAAATGTGCATTTTATGGAGTTATAGACAAATGACTTTTGTGGCCTGATCATTTTTTCAGGAGCTACAGAAAGCCTTATGCACACTTTGTGTTCTTCTTGGAACCTGCTGTAATTACTTTTTGAATGCTGTGAGCTGTGTACTGTTACCCACATGGGCCCCCTGTTGCATTTCTCTGAAGATACCAACACATTTAAGGGATGGTCTCTGGCTTTACATCCCCTCCCTCCCTAACCCCTTCTCCAGTCAGCTCACAGGGCTCATTCCTTCTGTCCCCCTTCTCCCAGGTGGTGGCAAATGCCTTTGAATGTTTTCACACCACATGTTTTACTCGGAGAATGACTCAGCTTTGCCTCCTTGCCCTACTCTTCAGGTAGGCGGAGAGGAGAGTTCAAGTCATCCATCCCTGGGAAACTCTTGGAAATTGGGTGGGAACTCTCTGAAGTCTTTGCATTGTTCAAATGCTTTGGGTAATTTGAAAAATCATGTGACTCACAGGACACAGGCCCAACCCTGTAGTTAACCAGTTTGTTCTTGCTAGGGGAAAAAAGGGAGAGAAAGAATGAAAGGAAGGAGGGAAGGAGGGAGGGAAGGACCCTCTGTTTCACTTAATTAGGCTGCTGTGGGGAGTTTGTGAATCACTCTTTCAGGGGGCTGTGCGTTTCCATGTCAACAGAGTGCAAGATAATAAGACCAATTGACTCTGAAAATGGGAGAGAGTGTTTTCTTTTAGAATTGACTTTCAGAGCCCAGCATGCTTCCCTGGAGCAGGGTGGAGATGTAGAGGTTTGCAGTGGGGAAGGTTGAAGGCTTACTTAAGCATCCTACAAAGGAGTAAAGCAAACCCTGAGTCCTGTCATCTCAGCCACATTGTCTTTGTGTGACTGCATTTCTGGGTGATGTCAAGTCCTAGCAGACACTGCCTGCCCAGAAATCACTTTGTTTTCTTAATTTTCAATTGACAGTGAATGAGGTAAAATAACTACTGGCTTCTTGCCTTCTGGTATTGATTTTCTTTATTAAGAGAAAGCCATTTAGAAGCTCAGTCCACGTCAAAACCATACTCAGAAAGTCCTTGGGGGGGTTGAAACTTAAAAGTTCACTTATCAATGTGAACTCTGGGACCTTCATTTGAGCCTCTGTTGCAAAGGTGGACTGGATTTTCTGGAAAGGGATGACAACTTTATGTGAGTCGGTGACTGAAGTTGAGACCCCAAGCCCACACTTTGTATGTGAAACTGTTTGACCACCACCCTTTTAAAACGCCCATCAGAGGTGGCAACCATCCTGGGCCCTGTTTCCGGGGTGCACAGGCAGACGTTACACCACCATGATCCTTCCCACCTTGCCTTGATCAGTCACTGCTGTCTGTTTCATTGTTCAATGGCATTTGTCCTTGTGGTAGTAGTGGCAGCCTTCCGGGGGCCTGTGTTCCCAGACTGCAGCTCAGGCTCTCTTTTCGAAGATTGAGACTTTTGAAGGTTCACACACCTCTGTAACCCATGTCTGCCCTGAGCCTTTGTGTCAAGCACACTTACTCAGTTGGATTTAGTAATTAAAAAGCTAACTTGTCCCTTCCCTCTAGAAACACCAGCAAGATCACACTGAAATATAGAAACTTGCATTGTCCCCTGTGGGAGTCCTTTTAGTAGAGACCACGACACCCCTTTATTGTGGGCCTCCAGCTTGAACTGTGTGAGATGTGAAATACGCATGGGATAGTGTAGATGGCCCTCAGATGCAACTGGTCTTGCTGTCAGTCCCGAGTTGCCTGAAGTGTTCTGTGCTCAGTAGCAGAACTATTTCTGTTGCTCAGTGTGGTTTGCCAGAACTGAAAAGGGAGTCTCCTGAGACAGGCCATGTTCCTGATGGAAGGTGAGTTCAGTCCTGGGCTTGTGGAAAAGACTCTTAGTGACAGGCTGTGGGGCTATCTAGTAGGGTCCATGGAGGACCCGCTCTCCAGTGGGTTATCCGAGGCCATTGCATGGCTGGCCATGCCACAGTCTTACTGGGTATGCTTACCCTTGCCAAGCTCAGCGCTGCAGCCCGTGGCTTCATATACTCCCCAGGGTGACACCTTCAGAGGCTAAGGCAGGATAGGTGTTCATGGCAAGCAGGGAGCCAGCTCCTTGCTGGGGCAAATATTTGGATCCCATGACTTGTAGCCTGCCTTACCACCTGGGAGTAGCTCAGACTATGGAACCAACACCTTTCCCACATTGACACTTATCTTGAGGAGAACAAATCTTCTCTACAGTGTAGTGTTCCATAAAACAGGTGTGAGACACTGGCCAAGCTCCCCAGTAAACACAACCCCCTGGGAGGAAGGATTCTTAATCTTGAACATCTGACTTCCAGATGAACTTATCTTTTCCACTAGAGTTACAAAAGGGAAAGATTATTTTACGAAATAGAAGTATTTCCCTTGGTTGCCTTTAAAAATTAGAGAATTGGAGAGAATGAGGGAGGGCTTATTTTATATACTTCCCAGATTCCCACAGATTAATAAACATACCAGTGAATATGTATATGTAAATCACAGTGAAATCATACAGGGAAACTATTTTGCATGTGTACAATTTCACAAAGGTTTCCTTAAAAAAAAAAAAAAAAAACCAAAGCTTGTTTCTCCCTCAAATTGAACCCAAACCCTTATGAAGGTCAGTGAGGCAAAGAGATTGTGACTGGCTTTTGCCAAAAACCTCAACCAGGAGGGAAGGGCTTATGTTCAGTCATTTGCTCCTTGACTAGGAGAGCCCAATCCTTTGGTAGTTGAAACTCCATGGTCTCTAGCCCTCCTGGCTTGTATAATCCTGTCTTCCAAGATCCCAGGGCCCTCCAGTTAGGTGTAGCTGTGTGCCACGTGCCTGACTTTTCTTTTATACTTTGCTTACTTTGCCTCGGGTGTATTTTAATCTTGTATAAAAAAAACAAGCATGTGTTAGTCATGCCTGCGTGCACACGTATGCATTCTGTATTTGACGAGTGGTGGTAAGACCAAATAAGCAAGCAAGCAAGCAAGCAAGCAAACAAACAAAAACAAAAACAAAAAAAAAAAAAAAAAAAAAAAAGAGAGAGAGAGAGAAAATTGAGTTTGTGGTTTTGAAATGTGAGTACACTGTACCACTAGCACTGTGATGTATAAGAGCTGTGTGAATGCCTTTTCATGTTGTGATTTGTACTTTAGAGTCCTATGGAAACGTTCAATTTATAATTTCAATACATATTTTAAATGTATTGTGTCTTATGTAGTCTGTCTCCCCTTTCAAAAGGATTCCTTTTTAAAGATATTTTGGCTGGAATACAGGTGAATTTTTGTAAATCCTGCCTGGCTCTATCTTTTGTAGCTGCTTCGTTGACTGGCCTGAAGACTGGATGACTAGGGCAGCTGGAGAAGGGAGGGGAAGAGGAGGGGGGACAAGAAGGGGAGAGAGGGGATTTTGCCACTTGGAGCACAGCATCTGAATTCTGAGACCGTGTTCATCGCCATGACAACATGCCTGACAGAAACCACTTGGGGACTTATTTTGGCTCATGGTTGGAGAGGATACCAGTCCAGTCCGTTACAGCGGAGAATGGAGGGCAGAGTCCATGATGGCGAGAGTATGCGGCTGAGACTCTTTACATCTCAGCCAAGTAGGAAGCAAGAGAGGGAGCTGCTGGCATTCTTGATTTTCTGCCCCCCACCCCTCTTTACATTCATTCTCTGGTCTCAGCTTTGTCAGGATTTCTCAGTGCTCTAACAAAATTCTCAACAAAAGAAACAGGGTGGGAAAGGGTTTCTTTTAACTCATAGTTTGGGGGCATGACAGCAGGAGTGTGGGGCAGCTGGTCACATGGTACCCCCCCACAGTCAGCAAGTGGGGTTGGGGTTGGAAGTGAGGGGGGACAAATGCTGATGCTCCTCTTGCTTCTTCCAAAAATTTGGCTCGTGCCCCATCTGTAAGATGGCATTGCCCACGTTCAAGGTGAATCCTCCCTTTTCAGTTAAATCCTGATAGAAACATCCTCATAGATACACCCAGAGGTCTGTTTCCGTGGTGATTCAATGAAGTTTGACCATCACACCAGCTTATGAGATCATGTCTCCCACATGGATCTTTTCCCTGAGTCTATGGAAGTGTCTTCATAGACACACTCAAAGGTGTGCTTCCCTAATGACTGAAGTGTTTCTTGATCCACAAGCTGACAATGGAGATTAAGAGTTACAGACTGCAGTGGATGGGAAGTCCAAATGCAAATATCTTGGAACCTCCGGAGGGCGGTACAGAAGGCTCATGTGTATCTCTTTGTTTCCTCTTGGTAGTTGTATCTGGTAGCCCTTGGTCTTCTCCAGCAGGCACATATATCACCATTTTCTGCCTCCATTTTCATGTGGTGTCTCCCACCCCCACCCCACTGCCTGCCTGTGATCAACATTTATGTCCACACTGAGACTCTCAACTTCATCATCAGAGAGACCCTGTTTGCTGATAAGATCATACATTCATGGGTTCCTGGAGTCCATCTTTTGTCATGTCTTAAGGGAATATAATTCTGCCTGTAACTGGCAGCACGGTGCACAGAATACTACACCTGCAAGTCACATCAGGAGTGCATTGATTGAACAAGGCTGGTGGGCCAATGAGCTTCTGGGCCCACTTATCTCTGTCTCATAACACTAGGCTATAACACATGCCCCTGTGTCTAGTCTTTACTTGGGTGTAGGGCATC